ATCTGAAAAAGTTCTCATAATATAAGAGGGTACCCCTAAAAAGCTGGAATTTTTTTGGGGGGGGCAAGCCTCTGGTAGTACAGGTTTCCCCAATAGGTAAGTTTTCTAGGAACTCACTGATTTTTTGTTTTTTTTGAGTTGGAGTCTCTTTGTTGCACAGGCTGGAGTGCAGTGGCATACTCACGGCCACCACAGTCTCAACCTGCTGGGCTCAGGTGATCCTTCTGCCACAGCCTTCCAAGTAGCTGGAACTACAGATGCACACCACCACACCTGGCTAGGTTTTGTGATTTATTGTAAACACAAGGTCTTGTCATGTTGTCCAGGCTGTTCTTGAATCCCTGGACTCAGACAATCCTCTCGCCTTGGCATCCCAAAGGCAGAGTCACCGTGCCTGGCCGAATTTATTTATTTGAGATTCTTTCAATGCTTTTGCCCATTTCATAATGGATGATTTAGGAGTATACCTGCCCACATTGCACTGAGTTCAGCAGTTTTTGACCAAAAACAACATTACCCTTATGTCCCACCCTTCCTATTCACTCAATCTTGCCCAAAGCAACTTTTTTTTGTTTCCCTGGATGAAAAAACTCCTCAAAGGAAAACATTTTGCTGATATGGAAGAGATGTAACAAAAAATAGCAGAAGCACCAAAAGGCATCAAAATTAACAGTTCGAAAACTGTTTTCAACAGTGGAAAAGGCATCTTGATAGGTATATTGCATCAAATGGAGAGTACATCAAATATTACCAAAGTTTAAACATGTAAGAATAAATACACAATTTTGTACAAATAAGTCCCTGGTTTTTTGGGGTTCCTCCTTGTATAACCTTAAAGAAAAATACAATATTTAAGCCATTATAATAAGGAATTGCTAAAAGTCCTTCCCTTTGGAAAGGGTTTGAGAGGTGAGGAGTAGAGAAAGACTTAAGTTTAATTTTTGTTTTACAATAATCTGAAATATTCTTTTTTTTTTTTTTTATTTTGTGCAGGTGTGATAACAATGGTGATTTCTTTTCAAATTGGAGCCTAGCTATTTTGGGTTCTCAAGATGGTTTATAAATGCTTTGTCATTCTCTTTTGTTGATTCACTTCCTGCTTCTTTGTGCTTCCTTTTCTCAGACTTTTTACTTTGTCGGGCTACATGTTTAAACTTTTGGCAGAATTCAATCAGAATAGTAATCCTGTAAGAGAATCAGCAAATAGGACTTGTAAATGAGATAATTCTATAAAACAAATCAACATGTAACATGTAGGCATCCTACAACAAAGCATGTAACTCCTGCAAGTACCCAACCAATGGGAAACCAGGAGAGGGACTTGTGTTCTAGGGCATAAATATGCTGGCTGTAACTGCCTTGGTGTGCCTGCCCACCAGACACCCCATCTTGCAAGACCATCATTAAAGTCTTGCTTCTGCCGCACTACGTCTCTGTGTCCATCCTTTGATTTGGGACAGGTGAGTTTGTTTCTCTCACAGAGGCTAGTTTATGTTTCAAAATTATATAACTAAAAGAACTCAAATTTGTAAATTCCTATACAAAACCAAAAACATTTATAAAGCTTATATGGTTTTTATTAATACCTAAAGACAATAAAAGAAGTAAATACTCAACCACAGTGGAGAAAAAATAATTCTGTATGTACAGAATAATTCCAATGATGTAAAACATATATACTATATATATTCAAATAGAAAAATCTATGAAGAAATTCTATATTATAAATAGTTGATTTTTCATGGTGATAGAATTAGAGGTAAATTTTCTTCATATTTTTTGTATTTTATTTTTTTTTAATTCTTTTAGAATTTTTTAATTTTAAAGATGTAGGGGATAATCCAAGATTAGGTATACAAATGTTCATCATGCAGGTACCCTTGTCTTTTTGTATTTTCTACCACTGTTTGTAAAAAAAACATGTGTTCTATTATGAGGCAGAAGGTGTTAAAGAATAAAAATTGTGGCCGGGCATAGTGGCTCATGCCTATAATCTCAGCATTCAGGGTGTCTGAGGCAGAAGGACTGCTTGAGCCTGGGAATTCGAAACCAGTCTGAGCAACTTAGCAGAACCTCATCTCTACAAAAAAATCAAAAAATTAGCCAGGTATGGTGGCACACACAGTAGTCCCAGCACTCGGGAGACTGAAGCAGGAGGATTGCTTGAGCCCAAGAGCTTGAGGCTGAGGTGAGCATAATCATGTTGCTGCCCTTCAGCCTGAGCAACAGAGTGAGATCCTGACTTAAATAAATAAATAATTCTAATAATAATAACAAAAATTCTGTTGACTGACTTTTTCTGATAACATAGCCAAGACACCCAGAAAGAACCTGATGCTAGAACTGAGAACATGAAGATGAAGATCAATCTACCCCAGCCTGTCCCAAATACCATCCGTGGATTGTCATCACTCCCATCTTGATTTCACATCTGAGACCATTCTCTAGTTCCAGACTATCCGAAAAGTTTCCCTGGTGCTAAAAGGAACCTCCCCCAAAGCCAAGTGTCACCTCCTAGATGATCAGACAGTTTCCCAGGACAGAATATCTCTCTCACTCACCATTGTTTTGCTTCCTCTCGGCCATCGTCGTCCCAGAACTTATGGTGCTCCCTCAGACTCCTCACCCGAAGCTACCCCAATTGCTAAAGTGTCATCATTAGTACTGTATCTGTCTTTAAGACTTGATAAAGCTGAGCCAGGCACAGTGGTTCACACCTATAATCCCAGCACTTTAGGAGGCAGAGACCAGAGGATTGCTTGAGCCCGGGGGTTCAAGACCAGCCTGGGCAACTTGGAGAGACATCGTCTCTACAATAAATCAAAAAATTATCCAGGTACACACTTGTAGTTCCACCTACTTGAAAGGCTAATGTGGAAGGGTCGCCTGAGCCCAGCAGGTCAAGGCTATGGTGGCCATGAGTGTGTCACTGCACTCCAGCCTGGGTGACAGAGTGACACTCTGACTCCAATAATAATAATATTAATAATAAAGACTTGATAAAGCAAGATGAAGAAGATGCATGGCTCCCCCAGTCCCCCTTCATCTCAGCAAAACAGTACTGTAGGAAAAGCACATTCCTGTTCTTGGTGCCTCTACCAAACCCCTCAACACCCCCAACCATTTCTCTATTTGGTTCTCCTAGGCACCCCATATTGGGTGTAGGCAATATAGCAATAATAGGAAGGCTTAATTAAGGAGCTCAACTCATTGAGACATAAACCAGTTTTTGTTTTAATCAATAGCTTTCCCCCTGCTCCAGATTCCATGCTATTTTTGTTATTCAGAGTTATACTGCAGTCATCTCACTTGGTATTTAAAAGCTAGGTTGCTGATATTAAAAGTTCGGTCTCAAACATTATTCAAAATATGTTTCTGCCAGGTGTGACAACACATGCCTGTAATCCCAACACTTTGGGAGGCCAAGGTAGGAGGATTGCTTGAGCCTAGGAGTTCAAGACCAGCCTAGGCAACATAACAAGACATCGTCTCTACAAAAAATCAAAAAATTAGCCTGGCATGGTGGCATACACCTGTAGTCCCAGCTATTTGGGAGACTGAAGTAAAAAGGATGCCTGAGCCCAAGAGGTGCCACAACTGTGCCTCTGTGCTCCAGCCTGGGTGACAGAGTGAGACCCCCAACTCAAAAAATTAAAAACAAAGCAAAATAAGCTGTGTCTTCCACTTTTAGCACTCACTAACAGTCTGTGACTCTTGGAAGTGAGGTCTAATTTTTATAGACCACCCCCATTTTCTTTTTCGCTTCACATTCTTTCCCTCCCTTTGCTTCTGTGTAGAGACCCAGTAGTTCCCAATCTTTACTGTATATTGGAATTACCCGGAATTTTAAAACTATCAATACCTGGGTCCAACCCCAGAGACTCTGATTGAACTGTCCTGAAGGACGACCTAGACATCAGGATCTTTTAAAGCTCTGGGGTGATTCTAATAGGAAGCCAAGACTGAGAACCCACTGCTGTAGACCTCATAAACACTGTCGAGCAGGGAGCAATGGAGATGCCACCTAAGAGACTGGCTGTTTGTTGACAGAATGGAGGGAACCTAGGCTGATTCCCTCTGGTCATTTCTGAGGTTTCTGGCCCCTGATGGAATGAAGGTGCCATGTGAATATATTGGTTTCTTCAGAGGAGTAAGGAAGGCCATCTGTATCCTTGCCCTGTCCCCAAATGCTGAGCCCTGCCCATGGCAGATGGGCATCCAATTATTTACTTCTGCTCTCACCACCATCCTCTTCCATATGAACCAAACCTTTTTGGCATGCTTTAAGGGCCACAGAGAACTTTAAGCTTGGGGATACCCTCAACTTCTTACCAGACACAATAATAATAAAAATAAATAGTACCATTTATTCAGCAGCTAATCTATACCAAGATTTGCATTGGTTGTTTTATATCAGTTGCTTTCTTATTTAATTATCACAGAAGCCTGCCAGAAGGTATTAAGCCCCATTTGATAACCGAGGAAACAAAGAATCGGAACTACCCAGCATTACATAGTAAGAAAGTAACAGAGACAGGTTGGAAATTGAGAGCTGAATCCAAAGTGATAGCCACTTAGCCATTCTTTTTTTTTTTAATTTCACTTGAAGTCAATTCCATTTATGATATTTAACACATTACCTCTCTTAGATAATGCAGTGGCATTCTACTGAGGAGTTTTAGTGCCACAATCCAAGAGGGGACTAATGAAAGAAATTTCCAGCTGAGACAGACAGGCAGAGGGAGGAAAATTACTTTAACCTTCACCCCAACTCCCACACCAGCATAGGCAGTGTTGTGGCCCAAAACACACTTTGGATCTGCTACCTACTGGAAATATCCAGATCTGTGCAGAGCTCAATGTCGCCCACTCATCAGCAGCATTTCTCAACTTTCTGTCCCCAGGACCCACTAATCATTTACAGCCTATTGATGGTTATTTGAACCAGGGGTCAAGGTGAACACCCCTAGTTACACAACAAATATGTACAAAGGTTTTGTTTAATCAATTGTGTGTGAGAGAGAGCATTTCAGGAAGTCTGTATAAAATTCTCTGCCATAGTTGACCATAGCAAGGGATGGTCTAACAAAATGAAGGTGCTCACTGCAATACTGCTTTTGATCACACTGCAGTCTTCATGTGCTGTGAGTCCCACTGACTGCAATGCTACTGAGCCGGAAGCTGAGAAAGCTCTAGACCAGATCAATAAAAGGCGACGGAATGGTTACCTTTTCCAGTTGCTGCGGGTTGCCGATGCCCACTTGGACAGAGTGGTGAGGAATGGCCAATGGCAGAGCTGAGTTGGGAGATCATGAACCCGGGAGCAAATGTGACTCTACCCCCTAAGTCTACCGCTTTGCACAATGAATGGCTTTAGTCAGGGTTTTCTGTTTAGTTTCTGCGGCTGCTTTAAATGGTTATTTTTTCCACACGACTAATGTTTGTTATTAGTATGTCCTTAATTATTAATCAGTCTATAAGTACTTATAAGCACTTATTTTTTTGTTTTTGCTTTGTTTTTATTTTTTTTAAGAAAGCAGGATTTATTGAAAAAAAGCTTCCACAGTGGGAGGGGACCTGAGGGGGTTACCCACTTATAAGCACTTATACAAAGTACTGTGAAAGAAATTTAGAATAAACTGTGGGCCTTGCCCCCAAGGAAATAATAATCTGCTTACACATACAGGCAAAAGTAAGATAGGATAAAGACAAGACAGGGTAAACTGTAGAGGAGGAAAGGTTTTCTCAACCCTCCAAAAGTTCCTGAGTGAGTCTGAAATAAAACTGGCAAAGATAGATTAACAGGAAAAAACATAAAATATATTTAATCAAAGATTTACCTGGCATGGGAGCTTTCAGAAATGAAGGTCCAAAGATCCAGCAAAAAGTGTCCATTTGTATGCTTACATTCTATGAAGAATGGGCAGCCATGTAGAAATATGATTGAACACAAGGGTATAGACTGAGTGGGGAAACCCAACACAGTATATCTGTTAGAATTCTTCTTGGCCTTTGTGTATGGCATTTCTTCCTCCCAGGTGTGGGGCAGGACCCATCTGGAACACTGATCTTAGGACCCAGAATCCAGCAGAATAGGTCAAAGAATTTCTTTATGGCCAGTTAATACACAGAAAGGCTTAGGGGAAAATGCCATATTTCTAGATTTTAAGGTTGCTAATTTAGGGGAGAGGAATCCTACTTTCTATGACTCGCCTCAAGAAAGAGGAATTCTAGTTTCTATGGCTTCCTTTTGGGGAGAAAGGAGAATAGGAGAGAACAGGGTAGGAGAAGCCAGCTAGATCCTGCTCTGAGGCACTTTGGGTTTCCATCAGTTCAAAAGACTCAGCATGTAATGAAGTATCATGTTCTGAGACCTGACAATATTTAAGTGACCAAGGGAGTGGTAAAGATACTGGAGCAATTTCATGACAAGAGATCTGTTAAGACTGGATGGGAGGCTGGGTGTGGTGGCTCAAGCCTATAATCCCAGCACTTTGGGAGGCCCAGGTAAGACAATTGCCTGAGCCCAGGAGTTTGAGATCAGCCTGGGCAAATTGGTGAGACCTCGTCTCTACAATATACCAAAAAATTAGCCAGGCATGGTAGCATCCATCTGTTGTTCCAGCTACTTGGAAGACTAAGGTGGAAGGATCACCTGAGTCCAGCAGGTTGATGCTGGGATGGCCAGGAGCATGCCACCAAACTCCAGCCTGGGCGACAGAGTGAGAATGACTAAAAAAAAAAAAAAAAAAAAAAAAAAAAAGATTGGATGGGAGAAGGCTTCATTCCATTTGGTCCTGAAGGATAGGTAGAATTTGAATAGGAAAGTCCCTGGGTAAAGGTATTCTGGGTGAAGTCCAGGTTTGTCACGTCTAAGTGGGTAGAGAACCAGGAAGAAGGGTCTTAAGGAGTAACTGCCCATAAACAGGGGCTAGGGGGTTCTAGAAGTTATCTATGGGCTCTGAAGCTGCCATCAGGTTGGAAGAGAGACTATGGGTTTATCCTGAGGCCAAGCAAGCCTATAGTCTTCATTTAGATTATGTGCTTTACCGGAGTGGATTTGAGGGACTGATAGAGATTATGGAGGGAGGTGAACCCTCCCTACCCTCCTTCAAATAACCTACACTTCCTTTGGCAGAACAATTGAAATCAGAGAGACCAGACCCTGGAGTACTATGGAGGACAAGGAGAGCAATTTATCTGTTAATGTATCAGAGAGGGAGGCACTGCAGTTTGCAGAGAACAGCACTGCAGGAATTTAGGTCTCAACCAGTAATTCAGAGACCAATAATCTCATTCCAGGGTCTCTATCACATGTGTATGACACGGGATGAATCGGGACAGAGCTACCTCTGAGTAGTAGCATAGGCAGTGGGTGGGTGCAAGTGGGAACAGTATTCCAGGGAAAGGTGAGACAGGAGACAGGAGCATGAACTAGGAAGCCACTTACATACTGAGGAACGAGGAAATGAGGATCAGACCCAGCAGCAAGAATTAGGGCAATGAGAACGAAGAATAGACATGAGAGACATTCCAAAGAAAGACCATTCAGGGCCTAGTGACTGGACAGCAACAGCAAGGAAAAGGAAGACATCAAAGCTGATTTACATTTTTCAAGTCAGAGTCTATAACCATAAACAATTAATGGTGCTGATGACAGAGACAAGGGAGGTTGAGAGAGGCAGCTGGTGTGTAAGGAAGAGAGTGAATTTAGCTTTGGGCAAATTGACATGCAGAAAATCCAAGTGCGGACATAGAGGTGGGTCAGAAGACCCAACTGCAAATACAGATTGGAAGCCGTGATATGACCATTGCCACATACCTAAACACATACCTTCGCCACCTCCTCCCAGACCACCACTGCCATTTACTGATAACTTTTAAACCTCATGGGCAGAAAAAACACTGTGACCACTTAAAAATACTATTTGGCTAAAACTCTTTGAGGATTGCTGAGGCTAGGAGTTCAAGAGCAACTTAATCAACACAGAGAGATCTTGTCCCTACAAGTAGTTAAAAAAAATTTTTTTAAAGCTATTTATTCGCTAAACAGATCAAATGACACAAAGTAGCACATCTGCATAAATGCGGAGAGGAAGAGAAATTCTGTTTAAGAAATAAATACACTGCTTTTATTAAAACAATCAACAAAAAAACCCTCTGAGCTCCCACATGCTACTCACCTGTTGCTTTCTTGACATTCCTCAGGAATCTGCAACTGTCTATTATTTAGCCTTAGATGTGCAAGAATCTGACTGCTCAGTCCTATCCAGGAAACACTGGAAGGACTGTGAACTGGCTGTTTCTAGACGTCCACCTAATATAGTAAGTTCTCCTCCTTTGATCATTCTTCCTTTCCATCCACTCTGCTTACTGGGAGGGAGCCACATGCCTGGGCTAACACAGCAGAAGAGGAAGAGCAGCTTTGGCCTTGAAACTCATGAAGATGATGTAGAACTTGAATAGTATTCTTGAGCGCCATTTCTGGGAACCCAGGTCTAGATACCTCAGCGAGGCTTGTGGTCCCATGGGATAGCATGACCAGCTGTCAGGAAAATACAGGCTATGAGACAGGGGTTGATGAAGGAAACCCCAAATACACTTTAAATGGGTAGTAGGAGTGTGTTGCACCCCATTTTGCTCTGTCGTATCAACCCTGAGAAAGATAGTATACAATGACTCAGCTAGGACTCAAAACCCTCTTTCTTCCAGGTGATCGGGCAATGTAAGGTAATAGCTACAAGACATTCAAATGGATTTTGGGATCTTAGAGTGAATGCCTTTAACTGCACCACAAGTTCTGGTATGGTAATCTTTTAAACTGCTAATTAATTCTAGATTAATATAGAATGCAATCATATAGAGTTGTTCATCACCTAATACTATGATGTACAAGAGAGAAAGAATCCCTGCCCTCATGAACTCCTTTATTACTTGAGCTCCTGAGAAGAGAAGGGAGAGATTTTTTCCCCCTGTTTCTGGTACACCTCCCTTAAAGAAATTCAACACATAAAAATTGAGATCTATGAAAAGTAAGATATCATCTCTGTAGCGATATCGGCTCTGGGGTCAAACTTGCTTAAATTTGAATCCCAATCTCATGATTTCCTAGTTGTGTAACCTTGGGAGCAAGTTACTTAACCACCTTAAGCTTTTCTCGTTTGTAAAATGAGGATAATAATAGCATTAGCTTTTAAGGTTCTCATTAGAATTACATCTATGTAGTACACTTTGAAGAGTATGTCTAGCACTTGATAAGTATCGACTTCAACATTTAAAAGTGATGTATTATTCACAGTTGACAAAGCAGTTGTACATATGATCTTATCTAATCTCACAAGGCTATAAAGTATAGATTATGATACTTTCTACTTGAAAGATAAATTGATTGAGGCTTGAAGTTGACTTGCCCTTGGGAGCATAGCCAAGATGTGATGAAGATATAACTCCTGTCCCAGCATGGTAGACTCTAAATCCCATGCCCTTTTAATCTACTTTATTAGGAAGAATGATCACAGAATTCCTTTTTTAAAAAAAGCAATTCTCAACATGATTCAATAAACAAAAATTTGGCTGGGGACAGTAGCTCATGACTGTAATTCCAGCACTTTGGGAGACCGAGGTAAGAGAATTGCTTGAACCCAGTAATTTGAGACCAGCTTGGGCAACATAGTGAGACCGTGTCTTTATTTTTAAAAGAAAATATTTTTTTAAATACAAAAATTAAATCACCAAGCTATTTCCTTGAGAGTTTGCCTTAAGGAAACTTTGAGCTGTGTCTTCTCCTCTCCCCAGCAAAATTTTATTTTAATAATGCCTCTTCCACATTAGCAAGCACAGGAAGAGTTTGTTAAAAAATATTATCACTTTATCAGTGGTATTTGTGGGGGCATCATGAATAGGGGTCATAACAGACTTGGACATTAGAAGGATCAGAAGAAAGGATCAACAGTTAACTTTGTTGCTGATTGATCTTGAACAGTTTACTTGCGTGTCCAACCTTCAATTTGCCCATCTGAAAAATGGAAGTTTTTGTTATTCTTACCATCAAGATACTATTGCCAACTTCGACCCGGTAACCACACACTGGCGTCTCTTTTCTCTAGTCTCTTCAGCACTGGCCAATACCAAGGACAGCCCTGTACTCTTCGATTTCTTGGAGGATCAAGAGCTCTACAGGAAACAAGCCGACAAAGCCCTTGAAAAGTACAAAGGGGAGAATGATGACTTTGCCTCTTTCAAAGTGGACCAAGTGGAGAGAGTTGTCAGAGTGGTGAGTCTACAGCAATATCTGCAGCAGCATGAGTCCAACCTGATGGGCACAAACTAAATGGCACACCCTCCCCCACCTCACTTACCCAGTTGCCTTTTAAATTGAGGCCCCTGTTGCACTCTTTGGGGCTATGATAGACAGGCAACAGCTACCAAAGAACTGCTCTCCTGCACGTTTTCTCTTTTGGAGGGTGTGTTTGAAGGGAAGGGTTGAGGGGAGTGGATACCTAACAGAGAGGAGGGAAAGACAAGAACATACGAGGGTGTGTGAGTCATTAAAAATCATCCAATAGTGACCTCCTTATATTATGAGGGAAGACTGAGGGTCAGGGAAACTACCTCAGCACACTCAGTAGTATGGCTGCATCTAGACAGATAGTTCCCTGCTCACTGTGGAAGGGCTCAAGCACCTTCCACCCAGAGCTGTACTGTAGAGCAGCTGGTTGATATTTGTCGTGCATTCAGAAAATGCAAACTTAACCGGCAAGGTGGCTTATGCCTGTACTTTGGGAGGGAGAAACAAGAGAACTGCCTGAGCCCAGGAGTTCAAGACCAAACTGGGCAACGTGGTGAAAACTCATCTCTACAATCAATCAAAAAATTAGCCAGGCATGGTGGCTCATGCCCGTGTCCCATCTACTTGGAGGGCTGAGGCAGAAAGATTGCCTGAGCCCAGAAGGTCAAGGCTGCAGTGGCTGTGATGGTGCTACTGCACTCCAGCCTGGACAACAGATTGAGACTCCAACTCTAAAATAAGTAAGTAACTAAGTAAGTAGATAGATAGGTAGATAGGTAGGTAGGTAGGTAGATAGATAGATAGATAGATAGATAGATAGATAGATAGATAGATAGGTAGATATAGATAGATAGATAGATAGATAGATAGATAGATAGATAGATAGATAGATAGATAATGTGAACTTAAATAGATTGTGCTGCAAACCAACAATGAAATGAACACAATGCACTCAAAAAACTAATTGGACCCATGTGCACTGAAAGAGTTTCAAGGCGTCTTGCTAAGGGAAATAAGGTTGAGGTTACAGAACCATACTTGGAACATGAGCCCATTTACATGACAGACTTAGATCTTCAGGTATATGTCAACCGATCTAGGAAAAGGTGAGAAGGAGAAACACATGTCATGAATGAGAGTGGTCCTTCTGGGAAGGACAAATTGGGTTGCAGGAAGGGAGATTTTTCACACTGTGCTTCATTATGCCTGTATTATTTGAACCTTGTCAATTAAATGATAGTAACTTTCTTACTTAAGTGATACATTTTTAAAAAGCAGTAATCATGAGAAAAATAGCACATATTTGTGATTTTTGAATCCTCATAGTAATTTACAATGTTTTGGCTGGTAGGTATCCACTGTTTTTTCTTTTACTTTTTTTATTCCTGAAGCTGTTTTGGTCCCATCTATTCTAGAGAGGAGGGGAAAGAACCGGTTACTATGTGGACTTCTCCGTGAGGAACTGCTCTGGGCACCATCTCTCCAGACACCATAATGTGAGTATGAGAAATGTATAATACTAAGTATCAATTTAAAGAGTGCTTACTACCTGCTAGGCACTCTTCTAAGTGTTGTATGTGTCCTTTAACTTTTTTTTTTTTAGTTGGAGTCTCACTCTGTCACCCAAGCTGGAGTGCAGTGGCAGGATCATAGCTCACTGCAGCCTTGATCTTCTGGACTCAGGAAATCCTTCTGCCTCAACCTCCCAAATAGCTGAGACTACAGGCACCTGCCACCAAACCAAGCTAAATTTTTGGCTTTTTGTAGAGATGGCGTCTCACTTTGTTACGTCTTGAACTCCCGGGCTCAAGTGATTCTCTTGTCTCGGCCTCCCATGAGCTGGGATTACAATCATGAGCTACCACACCTGGTCTTGTACTTTAACTTACTAACTTGCACAACCCTATGAGATAGATACTATTTTTATCCCTAATTTGAAGATGGAAAAACTGAGGCACAGAGAAGTTAAGTGAATCATTAGCATATGCTTTTATAATACATATGCTATATGCCTAGACTTAAAACTGAGTTCTTGGCTAGGCATGGTGTCTCAGTCTGTAATCCCAGCACTTTGGAAGCCTAAGGCGAGAGGATTGCCTGAGCCCAGGTGTTCGAGACCGGTCTGGGCTATTTGGTGAAACCTTGTCTCTACAATAAATCACAAAAAAAACTAGCCATGCATGGTGGCATGTATCTGTAGTTCCAGCTACTTGGAAGGCTGAGGCAGAAGGATCGCCTAAGCCCAGCAGGTCAAAGCTGTGGTGGCCGTGAGCATGCCACTGCACTCCAGCCTGGCGACAAGAGTGAGACTCCAACTCAAAAACAAAACAACAACAACAACAACAACAACAAAAACTGAGTTCTTTAAACAATTAGGATTTAAGGTTTAGCTAAAACTAATAACCAGTTTGTTTTAAGACCCTACCCACCAAATAAATGGTCTTGTTCATTCCATCTCGTTGACACCACAGGGGTCCCATTTGACACATAAGAAGATAACTGAAGCTGAGGAAGGGTCCTATCAATGTTCACAATGAAACTGAAATTGAAATCTTGCAGGGTGCAGGGACTCATGCTTACAATCCCAGCACTTTGGGAGGCAAGAGGATCATTCGCGACCAGGAGTTGGAGACCAGCCTAGGCAACATAGAAAGACTCATCTTGACAAATAAAAAATATATAACTAAGCTGGGTATGGTGGCATGTGTGTAGTCCCAGCCACTCAGGAGGCTGAGGCAAAAGGATCACCTGAGCCCAGGCTGTCAAGGGTGCAGTGAGCAGTGGCCATGCCACTGCAATCAGGCTACTGCACTCCTCCAGCCTGGGTAACAGAGTATGACTCTGACTTTAAAAAAATCCAGTTCTCCTTATGCACAGTTCAGGGGGGTTTTCCCACTAGTCATTTACAAATTGATACCATGTACCTGCAGAAACATTTTATTAATAACACCTGGCATTTGAATGGTAATGTACACTTTACATGATGCCTCCATGTATATTTCTGCCTCATCGTAGCCTCATGATGACCCCACTGAGAAGGAAAGGCAAATGTCTGCTTCCATTTCCCTGTAAATAGGGGGCCTAGAATTTCCATCCCTTACCTAAGGACACTTGGCTAGAAACACAGAATTTTAATTCTGATTCAAGTACAGGACTTTTCTGAGACTTATCAACACATTCTCGCTGGCTGGAAGGGAGGGAGCATTCATTATTTCCTTTTCTGACTGTTCAAATTTTCAACCTGAACTAGTTCTAGAGTCCTGCATAGTAGCCACTGGGAAAGAAACATTTCTTCCCTACCACCATCCCAAAGAAACCCTTAACTATCTTTGAGTGTGCAATGTAACCATATGCAGAACAATCAGAGTTGAATAAAAGGAGACTCTGGGCTAAGGTTTTACAGCATCATCTCCTTTAAGTAAGCCCTCCCACAATCTGTGGGTACATAGTATTATTCCCAATTTACCAAGACTAATTTCAGAAATGTTGTGTAACTTGGCTAAATTCATACAACTAGTGAATGTTGAAGCCAGGTTTATCATAGGTCTGTCTGATTCCCAAACTGTACTCTGGACCTTAATGCTTAACAATTTTTTTCTAGAAAAGAATCATCCTTCTATACTACTCTAACTTTAATAGCTGGATTTAGGATCCTCTCAAGCATAAGCATGCCAGCCAGTTGTAGCCCTTGTACCCAGCAGACTCTTACCTTGACATGCAACACATCTTTATACTAAATAGGCTCCCTCTTTTCCAACACCTTCCTCCAAGGTACCAGTCAAAGGTGTAAAAATCTCTCTTCTACACCATTTCTCATTCTCTCCAGATTCAGGCAACTCCGGCTGTCATTGCAGAAGGGTTGGCTAATGGCAAGCCAGCAATGATACGGTATTCCTCACCACCATCTATGGGGAAGCCCCGTGCTGATGCCTGCTTATAGGACAGAGCCACTGCCTTGAAAGAAAACTCTGCAACCTGCACTTTCCCCAAAGTATAGACTAGAAAAGGTTGCTGAATAACTGGTGGAGATATCTGGTAATATTACTCTGATTCTTCTACAGCTCTTCTTCCTTTCCTGAAGGTCTGGAATTTCACAACTCTGGCTGGGCATTTTCACACTACCTGAACATGCGTGCGTGCGAACACACACACACACACACACACACACACACACACACACACACACACACACACACACACACACACTTACAGGCTTCTCTTTCTCTTGTAGGTCTTTGGATTCTGCAGAGCAGATTTGTCCTATGATGTAGGAGCCTCTGACTTGGAAACCCCCGAAGACCTAGTCGTAAACTGTGAAGTATTCAACCCTGAGGTGACTTTTCCAGAGCAGAGCCAGACTAAGTGACATTTTTACACACATACTGCATTTGGTTCTTATGGCTCTGTGTGTGTGTGTGTGCGCGTGTGTGTGTGTGTGTGTGAGAGAGAGAGAGAGAGAGAGAGAGAGAGAGAGAGAGAGAGAGAGAGAGAGAGATACTGAGAGAACTGACCTTTAAGGAAAAAAATGCATTTGCTGGATTACATAAAAAGTGTAAAAAATGTTTCCAAGAAGTGAAAAAGGGTAAGATTTGGCAGAAAAGTAAAATCATGACCAATTAAATAAACTTTGAATGAACTGAAAAATGATCCTTATAGTAAGGACTCCAGTACAGGGTTAGTAATTCTGAGTTTTTATTGTTAGGTATAGAGTATAGGGGAATGAATTAGACTCAAATTTATTATATAAACATATATAAAATAAGATGCAAAATCATATTTTACATCTCTCTCAGAAATCTTTGCTTTGTTTTATGAGTGAACTCAAAAGATTGTCTTCATACGATTTTTTAAAATATCTGAAACAAGCAAAAATATCCTAGTTATCCATGTTCCAAGTTAAAGAAAGAAAAAGAAAGGTCACATTTGTACCATGAACAAGGTTCCACTGATTTTTTTAAAATTAAAGCCTGAACAAGGAGTGTCATGGGTAGTGACTAGTTGGCTGGAGTCCCAGGCCATGAAAGAATTAATCCAAGTCAGATCAAAGTAGAGAGGGACAGGTTTATTGAGTACACTGTAAGGGAGATAATAGACAGGACAGTAATAAAAGAACTATCTGTGCTTTGCCAGTGGTTTAAGGTTGTTTTGTTGGGAGCTGGCCTCTTTTCAGTTAGGGTTAGGTTTCCTGTCACGCATTAAGGTGCTCGTCATTGAAACAAGAGATTCAAACATGGCAGTTCTGATGGCTAATGTTTGACTTTGACTGTAGCCCACTCATTGATCAGTTGGAGGTTAACACAAGGTGGCTCTTGTCATATACAATGGCTTCCATAAGGAGGGGAATGAAGAATCCAAATATTCATTCTTTAGGAGTAAGAGCTGTTGATATCATCAAGCCTCAAAACTCCGTTGAGAATGTCAATTATAAGGAACTAGTTTTCCATTTCCCAAATGTTGATCTATAGATGGGTGTCATTCCATAATATAATTTTACCACTTGTTATTCAAATGAGAAAAACAAGGATAGTAAAGTTTGTCTTATGTAGCATTTATTTAATCTAAAGGACTATCCTTTACTCTGAAATTATCTTTCTGCCTCTTTTGTTATCAAATATTATTCCTTGTGAAGCATTAATGGTGGCAGATGATAAGTTGTTTCTATTTTAAATGTCAACTTGGCTATATAACAACTTGAGAACTCTTCTTTGTATCCTACTTTTTACATTGATGTATACAATCCCAAATCTGAGAGCCATTGGTCTAAATCAAGTTAAACATCTAGCTTCTCCTTTTGTGTTTCATGATAATATTCACTTTTCTGTGTCCTCTAGCAGGAACGCAGAAACATCGGTGGTGTACAACCCCATTTCAGCCATCCCTTCCACTCGGGTAGACATGAGCATTCTCCTGCTGGCAAGCCTCTATTTAAGCCCCATGGATTCAGAGAGCATCATCGTCCCCACAAGCCACATGAACTTGGATATCCACCTCCTCCAGAACAGAAAAGTCACTCAGACAGACCACCATTTCAAGGAGGAGCTCCTCCACCATTGCCCTCTCCAGGGTCAAGATGTCATCATCCCTTCTTTGGCAATAATGGAACCCAAAGAGACCCTCGTACTCATAATTCCGGTGAGCTCCATCCCTATGAGCATCACCCCCATGGACACCATCCCCATGGACACCACCCCCATGGACGCCACTCCCATGAACACCATCCCCATGGACACCACCCTCATGGGCACCACCCCCATGGACGCCACTCCCATGAACACCATCCCCATGGACACCACCCTCATGGGCACCACCCCCATGGGCACTGCCCCCATGGCCATGATTTCCATGACTATGGACCCTGTGACACACCACCTTATGCCCACATTACCCAAGGTTCCCATCGCCATGGCCATGGCCCACGACCTAAACACTCAGAAGAACGAGATCGAGGTAAAGGACACTTTTCTTTCCATTGCAGACAACTTGGATCTGTTTATCAACTCCCCCCACTAAAGAAAGGTGAAGTTCTTCCTCTACCAGAAACCAATTTTCCAAGCTTCCCATTGCCAAACCACAAAAACTCTCTAAAGCCAGAGATTCAGCCCTTCCCTCAATCTGCCTCTGAATCATGTCCAGGGATGTTCAAGAGTGAGTTTCCAGAAGTTGCCAAGTTTCTTGCATATACACTTCCAAAATAAAATCTGATTCCCTTGATAGGGAAAATAATAATAGTTTGAATTAGAACCATAAATAAACAAAAATAAAATTCTACTGGTAATAAATTAGAATTATAGTTCTGTTAATCTTATACTCAGGGTAGGACAAAATGTGAATGGGGGAGGAGATGGCACAGGAAAAGACAGACAAACGGAAAGGAGAGGAAAGATCTCAGTGCTATAAATTAGTAATTAATTCTATTACTGGCCACTACATCACTTGAGGCAAATCTATGACCCTCAGATAGATTTGCCTCAAGATTTCTCTCTTGGACTTAACTCCTCTAATTCTTTTTTTTTTTTTTTTTTTTGAGTTGGAATCTCACTCTGTCGCGCAGACTGGAGTGCAGTGGCCGCTCCCGGCCACCACAGCCTCGACCTGCTGGGCTCCAGCAATCCTTCCACCTCAGCCTTCCAAGTAGCCAGAATTACAGGCATGCGCTACCACGCCCGGCTGATTTTTTTGATTTATTGTAGAGATGAGGTCTTGCTGCCCAGGCAGGTCTCGGACCTGCGGGCTCAGGCTAACCCACTCACCTCAGCCTCCCAAAGGCGCGGGATTACAGGTTGAGCCACCGAGCCCGGCTCCTCCAATTCTTAAATCGCTATGGCTGTTTATGCTACAGCTGGGCATACCAACAAGGTATGTATTATTACTTAAGGGAGTATTACTATTATATAAGTGACTTACATTATCTCCTAGTGATATTGTTAGTCATCTAAATTTCCTTTTGGAATAATAAGTTCAATGATGAAGCAAACAAAGCTCTGGCTATAAATTGTAAAGAACGTTACAGGCATGAATCATGACCACAAATTCAGGCGCACAAAAAGTATCACTATATTTTCAGAACAAATTAGTTTCTATTTCAGGTTGCAATCCTGCAGGGTCAATAGGATACTTAACTCCAGCCCTTCTGGGAATACTCCCACTTCCCTGCTACTTCCTCCACAAAGATGGGTCACAGTCCTAGAATCTCACGTAATGCCAAGCTGTACGGTAGTGGGACAAGAAGGAGGTCTGATTCTTAATTGTTAGTGCACCAGTGCCCCTGCTGACGGATACCACTACCTTCTTCACATAACTCTTTGAGTCTAGTTTGTCTGCTACTTCTGTATGAAACCGAGGATGTAAAAGTTGCTGTAAGACCACCAACGGACATGACTGGCATGATCTACCATACAGCTGTTATCTCTTCTGGCTGCATGCCCAGAAAGCAGGGCAAAAGTCTCCTCTGCTTCAGAAACTTCAAACTTCGCTGTTTTTCTCACCTCTTCTTCCTAGGCTATGGACTCTCTTTCTAGTCTCAGATAATTTCACGTTATTTTCAGTGCCAGAAGACTCTTATTTCTACACTGCAATCCTCTTTCTTTTCCCTCCTCCTCACATCAGGGTTCAAGCATTTAGAATCAGGCTAATAAGATCAAATTATCTTTATCTTCCAACTACAATGATGATACTCAAGTATTTAATAACCAATACGATGTAAGTACTAATCAGTCAGACCAGATACAACAACCAATCAGAACAGTCATCATCCATAAACAACTAGTGTGGTCACATGGGTGGGCACCAGCTGAATGTGGCCCTGCAGAATCATGTTCCTTCACGGAGGCATGAACCCCAGGCCAGCCACTTGAATGGGGAGTAGAGAAAGGTGAAAGAAACTCAGGGAGGGAAAAAAGATACACAGGTTCATAATTCAAAATGAGGACGGGTTCAGTGGCTCAGCCTGTAATCCCAGCACTTTGGGAGGCTGAGGCAAGTGGATTGCCTGAGTCTGCGGATTCGAGACCAGCCTGGGCAACTTGGTGAGACCTTGTCTCTACAATAGATAAAATATTAGCCGGGTGTGATAGCACACACCTGTAATGTCGGCCACTTGGAAGGCTGAGGCAGAAGGATTGCCGGAGTCCAGCAGGTTGATGCTGTGAAGGTGCCACTGCACTCCAGCCTGGGCGATGGAGTGAGACCCCAACTCAAAAAAACCAAAAACTCAAAATGTTATCCTTCTACAGAGGCAGTGGAGCAATGTTTTATAATTTATAAAGTATGTTAATAAACAGTGTTTGAATTATGAAAACATTACCTGAAAAGCATAGGAGTTGGGAGATCTTAATTAATTTCAATTACGTGCATTGAGCATATGCAAGCCCAGTTGATAATGGGTAAGAAATTACCCCAGGGAGCTTACATTTCATTAGAGATTTTAGGCAATATACCATTGATCTTGGCTTTTCTGGTTTTTTCAGTGTCCTGGTGGCTAAAAATCTGCATTTATTTTCAAATACTCCATATCCTTTCAAAGGTGATGTTAACAGATGGAATATAATAGGTAGACATACCAACAAAGCATACATTATTACTTAAGGGAGAATTACTATTATATAAGTGACTTGCATTATCTCCTAGTAAGATTGCTAGTCATCTAAATTTCCTTTTGGAAAAATAAGTTCAATGACATACACCCCTCACATGTCTAAATCTCAAACTCCTCAGTGGCACTACCATTCTTTAAGGGCTACAGGCTATCATATCTATGCGGGTTATAGAAAAAAAAATGTTCTATAGGCTAGGAATATTTATTGATTCTTTTTTGTTCTTCATCCCCAATAAACTCTATGACAGCACAGACTTTGTCTGAATTGTTCATTAAAGTGCCTCACACATACTAGGTATTCAAGAAATGTTTGTTTAATGAGTTTACATATTAAGCTTTTATAAGAGTTTAAAGAATTTAAAAGGTTTGTAACTTAATAGTTACCAACAACTCTCTTATACTGGTAATATCAATATATTAGAATAGGCCAGCTGCTATAACAAATTCAGTTGCTTAATGATAGTGGATTTTATTTCTCTCTCATGTTACTGTTCCATATAGGTTATCAGCACGTGGCCATTTACATGGTGTTTCAGGGTCTCAGGCTCCTTCTATTTGTGGCTCCACCCAACCTTCCTGCCTCAGTATTTTCTTCTGGATCTTCTGCATGCAACCCACAAGGGGAGAGAGTGGAGGATCATAAAGGTGGCTTTGATGGGCCAGGGCTAATAATGGCAGGCATAACTTATACACACATTTCATTGGCCAGAACTCAAGTCATGTGACCACACCAAAGCAAGGGAGATGGAGAAAAGAAGGCTAGCTGTGCTCCAAGGAGGAAAGGGAAATAGGTTTAGTGAAAAATGGGCTGTACCATCACCATTTTTTAGAGACAGATGATGAGGCCAAAAGTGATTTAATTACTTCCTTAGGATCTTACAGTCAGTAAATTGTGGAACCAGGATTAGAACCCTGATTGGCCTCTTCCAAAGGCACATTCTTTCCTCTTTATTACACTGCCTATATACACTGCCAAGGCCTGTTTCTGAGTCTTCACTGGGAACGTCCATGAGGATCAGCCTTGACTATTCCTTGCCACCTCTTCTGGACAGTGCACCCTCACGCATTCTCATTTCCTCACCCTTCCGCCTTCAGCTCCTCTACCTCTGCTCCTCATCCTTCCTCTCCACAACTTACCCAAGTTTCTTTCACCCTTCCTGTTTCTCTTACATTCTCCCATCACAGTTTATCTTCTGCCCTCACCATGCACCTGAAACTACTTCAGTTAGGCAGGAATCCTAAACCATCTTTCTTAGTATTAGATATAATTTAAAAGGACTAATTATCAGGCCCTGTACATATTTAACTTCATGACTCAAAAAAAGGCACATTAAAATATGATTTTCAACCAGGCTCAGTGGCTCACACCTGTAACCCCAGCACTTTGGGAAGCAGAGGCGAGAGGATTGCCTGAGCCCAAAGGTTTGAGATCAGCCTGGGAAGCTTGGTGAGACCTCATCGCTACAATAAATAAACAAATAAATAAAAAATTAGCCAAGTGTGATGGCGCACGCCTGCAGTTCCAGCTACTTGGAAGGCTGAAGTGGAAGGATTGCCTGAGCCAGCAGGTTGAGGCTGTGGTGGCCATGAGTGTGCCACTGCACTCCAGCCTGGGCAATAGAGTAAGACTCCAACTCAAAAAAAGAAAAAATAGATAAAAATTATGATTTTTCTGTCTGTTACAGGTAAGAAAACTGGGACTCAGAAAGGTAATGTAACCCTGACTTCCTTGGGGATCGCATAGCAGTTAAGTTGCAGAGCTAGACAGGAGTTGAGGTTGTACTTCACTGCCAAGCTCATGATCCTGCCACACCTCTAAAAGGTGACCATTCAGTCCCTGCTGAGTTCTCTTTTCCAGGGGCGCTAGTGAAACTCAAATATCAAGTTGGAGATCTTACCAACAATAAAATGTTCAGCTTTTTTTCTGGTAAAACTTGAAAACACATCTACTAAGTGCTAACCTATGCCTTTAACCTACCCTTAGACCTCTTCTTTCTGAAGAGTCTAACTTTATAAAAAAGTCTGTTTAACTTTGATACATGAAAGACACCCATATCTACTATAGGAGCAAAAAGGTGTGATGACATTCCTCACCCATCATAGGGGTCACAACAGACAGGCCTATAACAAAAGACAGGTTAACAAGAGAAGGCCTTAACATATTTATTTAATCAAAGCTTTCATGACACAGAACCCTTCAGAATATAGGCCCAAAGATGCAAGAAACAACTGTTCACTGTTAGGCTTAGATTCAATACTATACGGCAGAATGGAAATTTGATTGTACAAAAAGGGAAAGACATTAAAGTAATAGACTGAGTGGGGAAATTCAACAACATATCTGCTCAAATTCTTCTTGGCCTTCATGTATAGCATTTCTTCCTTCCAGGTATGGGTCAGGATCCCTCTGGAATGTGGATTTAGGACCTATTATCAGACAGAGTAGGTAAAATAATTTCTTCTTGGCCCACTCCTACAGAGAAAGGTTTGGAGGAAGATTAGTCATATTTCTAGATTTTATGCCTACATGAGGGGGGAGGAATTCTACATTCTAAGACCTGGCTCAAGGAAGAAGAATTCTAGTCTCTAGCTTGCCTTGAA